GACAGCCGAGGCGTGTGTTGGACACACTTTCCTTAAGATCGTTACGTCCTCATTACGGTGCTTGAGAACAGATGATGCCGACCTCTGTGGATGCAATGACTATATCCCAAAATTGCAGTACTACAATCTGGGTCTGGCGAGCAAACTGAGTTGTATCTCTCTCTTTTACAAAATATATAAGAATGTTGAAGAGCAATACAGAGAAAATAAAGAAAAACGAACAAGAGAAATGGTTGGAAAAAGTCTGTATTTATAGGCAATAATGTGACTATTTGGATGGGTTTGGAAGCCCTCCGAACATGTGTGAAACTGAGAAACTGCCGAAGTGAAGAGAGGTGACCGAAGAAGAAAGTGATGCCATTGCTTAGGTTTGAATTTGACAATTTGGAGCAAGTGTTTGAATTTTTCCGGTTAGGAATTCAAATTTTCCAGCAAGAATTGTGGAAATAAAATAAATAAATAAATAAATAATTCAAACAAATTTTGTCCAAAAAATTAAAGTTAGGACCCGACCCACACCACCCTAGGCACTAGGGATGGCAATTTGAAACCGACCTGACGGCGACCCGATCCCTCAACCCCGATTTGAACGGTTTTTTCCCAAAAAATACTCCTGACGGGACGAGGATGGTATTCAAAAATCAATTCTTGATCAATTTCGGGCCAAAAAGGGTAATAAGTGTCCAAACCCCAACCTTGGCCCCATTTGTCCCCGAAGTGATATATATATATACTTTTTTTTTATTAACTGTTTCTCTTTCTCTCTTTTTCATGTCATCTTTTTTTCATTTCATATATTCTCTCTCTCTCTCTCTCTCTCTCACTGAATCAGCGCCACTTCCTCTGCCTCCTCGTCTGAGCGACACCTTCTCCTCTTCCTAAAAAAGAGAGCAAAGAGCAAAGAGAGAGAGAAAGAGCACCGAACATCGTCGCCAAGCGCCACCTCTTTCTCCTCCGAACGTCGCCTCCTCTTCCTCGGGCGTCGGTTCCCTCCGCTACGACAAACTTGAGCAGCTCTCTCTCTCTTCCTCTCTGTGATGTTGATGATGTTGTTGTTGATAATGTTGTTAAAATGTTGTTGTGTTGCTACTGTTGTTTGGTTTTTTTTTTTTTTTTTAGTCCGGGAAATTTTCGGGGTCGGGGAAACCCGATCCCCGTTAGGGGGCGGGGACGGGGATGGTGATTGGTTCCCTGTCGGGGATCGGGGCCGGGGCTGGGGAGATGTTTACCATTGGGGATCGGGGACGGGGAGGTTGAATTTTTCCGGTTAGGAATTCAAATTTTCCAGCAAGAATTGTGGAAATAAAATAAATAAATAAATAAATAATTCAAACAAATTTTGTCCAAAAAATTAAAGTTAGGACCCGACCCACACCACCCTAGGCACTAGGGATGGCAATTTGAAACCGACCTGACGGGGACCCGATCCCTCAACCCCGATTTGAACGATTTTTTCCCAAAAAATACTCCTGACGGGACGAGGATGGTATTCAAAAATCAATTCTTGATCAATTTCGGGCCAAAAAGGGTGATAAGTGTCCAAACCCCAACCTTGGCCCCATTTGTCCCCGAAGTGATATATATATATACTTTTTTTATTAACTGTTTCTCTTTCTCTCTTTTTCGTGTCATCTTTTTTTCATTTCATATATTCTCTCTCTCTCTCACTGAATCAGCGCCACTTCCTCTGCCTCCTCCTCTGAGCGCCACCTTCTCCTCTTCCTAACAAAGAGAGCAAAGAGCAAAGAGAGAGAGAAAGAGCATCGAACATCGTCGCCAAGCGCCACCTCTTTCTCCTCCGAACGTCGCCTCCTCTTCCTCGGGCATCGGTTCCCTCCGCTACGACAAATTTGAGCAGCTCTCTCTCTCTTCCTCTCTGTGATGTTGATGATGTTGTTGTTGATAATGTTGTTAAATTGTTGTGTTGCTACTGTTGTTTGGTTTTTTTTTTTTTTTTTTTTAGTCCGGGATTTCGCCATTCAAGACCCAACTTGTTGTAGTGAAATTTAGAAATTCGAGTTTGAAAATTTGGTGCAAATTTGAATTATTTCTGTAAGGGGGAAAAAAATTCCTACAAGAATTTGAAAAAATTCAAATGAATTTTGTCCAAAAAATTAATGTTAGAATCCGACCGACCCCAATCAGACAGACAGCGGTGGCGACGCGCGTGTGGTGGTTTTGGGCCAAGCCCACTTTATCCATAACTCCCCTCCTTAGAAAATTTGAGGTACCCTTTGGGGCCCAACCCAAGTGTGTCTACCTAGAGTTTATATAATCACACTAGCTTTCTTAAAATTTTAATGTGGGACAACCAATTTAAGGAAATCTACTTTTGATTCTTTAACTTTTCATTTCACGAATTTGAAAACGACGTCAATTTCTCATACTCATAAATGGTTTTGACGAATCGCCTTCACCGTATGACTTGCCACGCAGAAGGAATGCGTCACCTCTTTGGACCTACCTCAAAGGACGTGTAGGCCTCACTCAAAGTTGAATTTAAAAATGACCCAAAATAAATCTATAAAAATTATAATTTCCAACAATAAATTCTACTATCAAAATCAATTATAATAATAAAAAGTTTCACATGACATACACTACATCTCCGTACAAAATTATAGAGAGTTACAATGGAGACTAATGCAAATAATAATAATAATAATAAAATAAAAATAAAAACTTTTGAGTCAGCAGCCATAATAATTATAGTGGGGGGAGGGCGGTGTCATAATGCAAACTTTTGAGTCAGCAGCCATAATAATTATAGTGGGGGGAGGGCGGTGTCATAATGCATGATGATTCAGATATTTGAAGGTGGTTGAGCTACGGCAATACGACCCACACATCTTCAAGTGCAGTGGTCTCCAAACCACCCAATTTTAGGTGTCCTCCGGGTCCACCAACCCACCATCTTTCTCCTAAAAATCAGCAATTCTATAAAAATAAAAATAAAAAAGTTGATATAATCAAAATTTTATATATTTTCAAATATCAAAATTTAAATTTATAAGAAAATGTGCATATGAGTGTACTATAAAAGTTTAAATGTCAAATCTTTAATTTTTTTTATAATTAAGTGTCCAAATAACATAATAAATTTTTAGTAGTCTTTTAAAATGACTTAAATTCAAAATTCAAAATTTATTGTTAAATTTTTTTACCATTGATTCAACTCTTTGAGATCGATCTTTAATTGTTAACTATCAAACTTTAAACAATGCAAAAAATTTTAAAAAATAAAAAGTTTAAAAAATCGAACTTTAGAACTAAAAAATGAGAGATATATTTTGCGTTGTATATTTTCTCTATCAATAACTAAGATGCTAATTAATACTAACTATGTTTGGCAAGATGGCTTTGGAGCTTTTATGGCTAAAATAGTCACAAAAAACAAAATAAATTTTTTAACCCAATACGACAAAATATCACATCTAACCTATAATTATTACATTTTTTCTCTCACAAAAAAGTCAAAAAAATTTAAAAAGCCAAAAATTCTTCCCAAACTAAACTTTTTAGCCCCAGGCTAAAATAGCTAAAAAAGCCAAAAAGTCAGCCCACTTTCCAAACGAAGCCTGATATATACCTTGTAGAGAGAAAAATGTTTATTCAAAAAAAAAAATAGAAATATATATATATATTTTTTTTTTAAAATACAAAATGAATCAATTGTATAACGACAATTTAAAATTTTAAACATTAGAAAATACATAACATAATTTCAAACTGACAAACTTTTATAGCAATTTCAACGTTTACAAAATCAATTCCGATTGGTAGTTCGAAAGTCTGATGGCTCGAATGGCTCAACACCAAAACGACGTCATTTTGATGTCTTTTTTTTCGCGTTTTTTTGAATTGAAGAAGAAGAAGAAGAAAGCTGAAGAAAAAGAAGAGAAGAAGAAGGAGCTGAGTTTCGGTATCAACACAAGGAGATGATGTTTAATTTGGGTTTTGGCATCAAAAAAAAAAATTGGTGATGATGTTAAAGAAAGCTGAAATTAAAGATCCAGAACAACTAAAATTGGTGATGGTGATGATGATATAAAGCATTCACTCAAATGTGTATAGCTAATTCCAAATCCAGAACAACTACAAAAAATAAATATAGAGAAAACAGATGAAATCAACATCTTCATCAGCATCATCATCATCATCAACAATTTCATCAACATCATCACCATCACCATCATCATTATCAACAAATTTTTTTCCAGAACAACTAAAAAAAAAATATATATATAGAGAGAGAGAGAAAATGAAATCAGCATCATCATCATCTCCAGATCAACATCATCATCTTCAAATCCAAATCCAGATCAACCAGGAAAAAAAAAAGTAGAGTCTGAAAGAGGTGACGGCGATACCCACCGACGTCGCCACTGCCACCGGCAGAGAGAAAGAGAGACGCCGCCTTCTCTTCCTCCTCTCTTCTCTCTCTCGCCTCTGTTCTCTTCTGTATGTGAAATCAAAAGCAAGAAAAAGAAAAAAAAAAAAAAAACCTAATATCCAAAACGACGTCGTTTTGGATATTAGGGCTAGTTTTGAGCCAACAATTTCGAGCAACGAAGTATTATTCTTACAAAACAATATAATACAAATAAAAATTATGTTAGAGTAATTACACTTTAAATAAACTTAATAAATAAATTTTTAAATAATACTCCTTCTATCCTAAAATATTAATCTCTTATTTTATTTTTTATTATCTCAAAATATTAGTCTGTTTTCAAAAATTAAGGAATAAAATAATATGAATTTATTATTTCATCCTTCTTTTAAATTTATTAATAATACAAAAAAATACAATTATGATAATTAATATTTTCAAAAAATATACTGTCCAAAGATAATTTTAAAATAAAATAATTATACTATCAAAATAATTAATTTTTCTAAAAAAGCCATTATTTTGAAACTGAAAGAAATATTTCTTATGAATACTTATATTTCTAAAAATGAATTGCGTGGGAAACTTCACAAATCTCAACCCACCATTTTAAACCGCTGAACCGTTTTTGAAATTTTAAATTTTTTTACATATTCAAAAGAAGAACAGTGAACACGAGATAACTAAACCTATTTTGATGACTCTTCATTTAACTAATCTAAAGGACTACAAATAAAATGATAGAGTGAAACCCACCAACCAAAAAAAAAATTTAAGACTACAAATCTAAAAATTAAATAAAACCTCCCTAAATTCCGTGACAACGCTACAAGAGCCCACCACCAAAATTGCACTACAATTTGAATGAGATTGTTACAACTACTCAACCGGGTTTAACCTACCCCGGTTCCAACTCCACCCTAGTCTAATTAATCTACATTGATTAGTCTCAAAAACTCCAAACCGTTGAAGTCAACGCGGACTCGGCTCCGGCGACCTCCTTCTTCTGCCGCATTTCCAGCACTTTCCGGTGACTGTTGGAGTGAACATCGCCGGAAAAAGTCGGACTACATGCCGGTCTATACTCTGGAAAAAGCCGACCGGACTTATATCGAACCCCACAAGCGTTACATAGTGTTTTAGCACCAAGTGGACCGGTTCGCCACTGAGGGGTCTTCTGAACCTGGCAATGGCTACACCGCCGCTGATTCTGCGACCCACCCGTCTCGCCAACCGCCGTTTTTTTATTCTTCTGCTTCTTCACAGGCGGTTTCCCAACTCTACCAACAATCTCCATGGCCTGAACCGGGTTCGGAAAAATGAAAACTGAGGTTGGTGAAGAACCGGTTGAAGATGAAGTCGTTGAAGAAGACGACTCACTGAGAGACATCGAACTGCGTGACCAAGCTCCACCACTAAGTCTCGACCGTTTGCTTCTGGCTTTTGCAGGAACCAGAGACGGAAAACACAGAACCGGTGTTCTCTGAATCGCCGGTCTACTCGATTGTTCACTCCGGTTCAACGAATTGCTTCCGGTTTGCTCATTGAAACTACCGACGGGAGACAAAGGAGACAATTCTGAGACAGAATCGTCCACAAATTGAGACAACCATTCAAGGTTCTCCAAATCATCGGCCTGCAGAAATTGGGAGTTGTGTATTTCGCTTATTAATCATCATAAACCATGAAAAATTCCCAAAAAAATTGTGTGTTTCTGTGTATTAAATCATTACCGGAACGGCTAGTTCGTCCGTGCCTGAAAAAGTTGTTAAGCTGTAACTATTATCTTCGACTCGGTCCTGAGAAGATACGGAGAGAGAGTCCTTCTCATCTTTCTCATCCTTGTCTTCTTCTGATTCTTCTTGTTCAACAAACACGTCCTTGAAATATTCGTTCGAGAGGTCGAGAAAAACATCAACGGAAAAATCGTCGCACGAAACGCCGTTAATTCCATTCACAGACAGAAATTCATCGATGAAAGCTTGCTGGGTTGGTTTCATGGATGATTCTGAGAGGAAACTTGACTTCAGTGCTCTTGCTTCAATGCACTCCATTTCTCAACTCTACAATTCTGGGTTTCCAAAAAAAACAAAAACAAGTTAATAGAATTCTATATCAGAAACCCAAAAAAAATAATATTGTCTCATTACAAATAACCATATATATATATATACCTGATGAGAATGAAGAAGAAGAAGAAGAAGAAGAAGAAGATGAGTACGGTACAGATGATAGAGAAGAAAGTAAGGAGCAGAAATGGGTAGAGAGAGAGAGAGCACTCAAAAAGGGTTGTTTTGTGGGAAATACTGGTGCTGGGTTAATGGTTTTTCTTTTCTTTTCTTTTCTTTTCTTTTTCTGTATTCTCTCTCCTATTTGCTATTTATGAAATTTGTAGTTTATGGCCAATTGGTTGGAGCATATTACTGTGGGGCGTTGCGTATGGGATCGGTAATTTTAGAGGGTGATGAGATGAGATGATATGATGATGATGAGAGGTCTGACTATTCTCTCTGGGTCCAAAATTATGCACAATGAGAGTGAGCTGTTTGTTAGGCCAGTTAGGACTGAATCAAAAGATTTTTCTCGTGGAATTGACTAATGGACCGGCTTCCATGGTAACTTCCAACAGGGACAAAACAAATTGAGGGGTTGTTTGGGATGATCTAAATAAGTGTACTTTTTGATTTTTTATGAAATATGAGTTGGGTTTGGGTTGGGTTTGAAGTGATGTGTTAGAGAGGTGATGTGACTTAAATAAAATGATGTGACTTAAATAGAATAGTGACTTTTTGACTTTTTGTCTTTTTTCAATCATGCCAAACTTATCCTTAATAAATTAACTTTTTTTCCCAATTGCCAAATACGCGTCAGTAGAATTCATTTTATTAGAGATAACATGAGTCCTTTTGACACTATCTTTCTCAGAGAAATAAAACAACAGACAACACACAAATCGTACTCATTTATTAATACAAAGCATGGGGAACTAAATCACAACAATGATGTGATTATTCATTATGAAACTCAAGGATTTATATGAAGCTGGGAAACAAGAACATACATAAAATTATTTATTAACTTGGAGGCACGCTAAGGCTCGTCCTTGATTACTGTAGCCCAGAAAAGCTTAACGTAGAGAGGGCACTGTGCTATGATAAAAAACATCACGGGTAGAAACCCCACTAAATATTCAACAACCTGTGCTCGTTTGATTATGTTTCTAAGGACAAAGAAATGTCCACCGCAGAAGGATACCAACATGGAAGCTATTGATATAAAAAGCGCCGTCAAACCTATCAGGAGCTTTCTGGGTAAGTAAACATGAAAATCCATGGCTTGGTGTCGAGAGGTGAGAATGGAAAGGAACATGAGCACTGCTGTGAGTGAAAAGCAGAGCGCCACGAGTGATGAGATGGCAAACACCTCAAACATGGCCTCTCGTTTTAGAACTGGTTCCCCGAGGACTCCGCCAATGCCACCTGGCAAACTAGCTGATGTGGCAAAGGCGACGGTTGCAATGAGTGATGCAACAATGGTGCAAGAGTCTGAGGTTTTCATTAGCCAGTCAGTATCATTTTGCACGAGGTCAGCATGTGTGTCCATAAAAACTTGGTCTGGGTCCATGCCCTCCTTATTTTGGTGAGCCAACATACTTTTTGGCAGATGTTCCTTGATAAACTACAAGAGACATTAGGCAAATCTATGTCGTACATTCATAATAATTGTATGCTTTAAGGAATTGACTAGAATAGTTTTCCCATTAGTTTTGAATTTGTTAATAGTTGGAGTAAGACTTGTTTACCTCGTACCACTTGATTTCCCATTGCATTCGTAGAACAGCATTTGGTGCAACTGAGGGCGGATAAATTTTGACCATTGCAGCATGATGCAATGCATTGTTTCCGACATTATCATTATGGTGTAACAAATCTTTCGTGACATTGCGACGCATCAACTCCTTATAAACCATAAGTTTTCTGTTTTCCAATGCTAGGAGCATCACATTCTTTCCCTCTGGGTTCGTATCATATATGGCCACAGGAAAATCATCGAGGATTTGGCTAACCATTTCACTGATACCATTCTTTGCTGCAATTAGTATTGGTGTCGCTGCAACC